CTAGATGTAAATTATGTAAAGCCATCGAGGGAGGGAGCTCCCGGAGCACGTGACGCACTAAGCCTTTACCCCCCCACGGCATGACAATGCTATGCCAAGCCATTGTACTGGCATTATGTGTTCTTTATTTAAATACTTTATTTCTTGTTATTCATGTTGTTTTGGCGCCTAGCCTAATGCTTTACGTTTCTTATAATGTTATATTCAGAGGAGTGTTGTTAGTGGGTGACCCAACGCTGCCTCTAACACAGACAAAACTCATACCACTAAAGAGAAATCAGAAACACTATTCCGCAAACCTATCGGGGATGCCATTAAGAGTACTGAGGGCTCCACAGCTTGGCTTGTTCAGGCTGGGGAGAGCTGTGGCCCTCACAATAATGACCTACTTTACACTATCCACCAAATTTCAACCCAGACAACCACCATGAAGAAATGTACCTTTAATGTACGGGGACTTAATGTCCCAGTGAAAAGACATCTTTTCAACCGAGAAACCAAAACCTTAGGTGCAGACATATTGTGTTTACAAGAAACTCACTTTAGACACAATGACCACTCTGTGGCAAAAATAACCTCGCCACTGGGTTATGGAGAAGCCTGATTGCCAGCCTGCTGCCTCATGACTGTGTCCCCTCTCATCAGCCCATGCTAAACTTAAACCCCATGGCGATTTTACTGTGTTTGTTGGATCTGAGTGCTGTTTGGATATATTGAGCGCTCAGATCCAAGCCATCTGGGGATAGGTTGAATGTGGGAGTTCTGTTCAGTATGATAGGAATTATGTATTTTTGTGTATTTTTGCTGTTGTGAATAGAGATATTTTCTGTACCTGGAGATAGTTGGCTTACCACACCCAGTTAAGCCAATTATCTCCAGGATAGAGGACTCTGTGGAACTGGTTTGGGCTGGAAAAGCCATGCTTCAGTGGTCACAAAGGACTTTCGACCGTCTTTTAAACCACTGGAGGGAATTGTCTGATTTTTGAGTATGTTTGTATTTGGAGTATACTGATTCTGAAAATGTATGTATGTAATTTATGTGAATGTGATGTATACTTTTAAAGTTATGAATATTGTGTAAAACTGTGTATTTTCTTGCCTGTGATAATTACGTTAGCCCATTGTGTTCAGTAATTATATCACAGGCAGAGGGGAGGATTTTGCTGGAATGAATAGGAGTGTTCATTGTATATTAAAACGTATATTACGTGTTTGATTGGATGTTCCACAAAACCCTGTGGGTGGTACTAATGTGTAAGAATGTGTATATAAGAACAATAAAAATACAGCTCTGTCTGTTCCTGCTTGACCCTCAACACAGAGCTTTGTCTCGTTTTTGGGGGCATTTATTGTATGCTGTTCCAGTTCGACTGCTAGGAGTGTAAACCTATTCGTATGGTTTTTCCTATTTGGCTATTTACAGCAAAAATGTGCAGTAGATAAGTTAAAATTAAGATAAAATATAAATAGGTTTGCAGCACCCACAATATACCCAGGTAATAAGGTACAGAAACAATCACAAAACATAAAAGTTCTGGTGCGCATACATATGTATAGAACCCTTCAAGTGTTGAGAAGTATTTACAAACAGATGATACAGTGTAAGCAAGCGTGATCCCTTATAGGGTGTCTGCAAGCCCAGGTGTATATGTGTGTATACTTATAGCCTGGTACACTTTATAGTTGATATCTGTAGTTAAGGAGAGAGAAGTAGGGGGGAGGGAACAGAGAAAGCACTCCTAGTGCAATACAATTATTACAATTTAAACTAAGCTAAACTGTCTCTTTAAGAATGCCATTCACAAATGTAGAGTGGTATGAGCCCCACTCTAAGCTATCTCGCCCAGGGAGGATCATCCCCTTGGGTACGTGGGATCTGATAAATGCTCCTGCGACTCCAGTGTCAGGCAAAAAACATTTATTAAAAATAAAAACAACTGATTGTCAAATAGTAAAAAGCACAGTCCAGCTGCAGCTCACCACACCATGGGGAGTCCAGCTGCAGCTCACCACACCATGGGGTGCATTTGTATGGTTCCGGTTCGGCTGTTTACGGCATTCATATGGTTTCCTGTTCAGCGGATTGGTGTCTTTGGTAACTGCCTGTGTATCTGGAAGGGGACTAGCTCCTAAAAGGCTTTTAACCCCTTTTATGCCCGGGGTGCCGTTACACACTCCAAAATACTTGCCACAGACTTCCCACATCAATTTAATGCTACCTCTCCCACCAAGTTTAGAGGGGCATCCATTTTATTAAGCAGAAATGGTAGATATGTCATAGTAACAGGATTGATTTAATGACATGCCATACACTATAGTGAACGTATACTCACCAAATACTAACCAACGAAATTTCTTACACAAATTCCTACAATGGGTACCTAGTGTCCAAAAAGACATTACAGTACTTTGTGGGGGTTTCAACAATGTTTTTGAATCAAAATTGGACACAACACTTTCCCAACATAGCCGCAGGCATCGCCCTCTGAAACGGCAATGCCAGGCCATTGCAAAACTCCTCCACACTTATCACATCTACGACGCGCGGAGGATCACACATCCCACAGAGAAGGCGTGCACACACTATTTCACAGTCCATAACTCATAATCAACGTTTGATGGGTTCCTCCTTACAGAATCCAACTTAAATTAACTTGTCCTGTGCAACATACAACAAATCACATAGTCCGATCATGCACTGGTGACCTTAGAATTAAAAAATATGACTTTAAATATTGCAGCCCATGGAAGATCAACGACTCCTTGCTGAGGGACGGAGACTTTGTTATGACACTGTCCAATGACCTCAAGGCCTATTTTGATTCTAATGACACAGGGAACAAGAACTTTGTGATTTAAACAGTGTAACGTGAATATACCCCAACACGCAGGATTCAGCTAAACAGAAGACAACACAGAGGAGAGATACGTCTACCGGACCTTAGAATGGCCGGACTCGACGTATATGAGAGGAGGCAGAGTCAGGAACGATCCGAAGTCAAGGGCACAGAGAGACAGCGTAAACTAGGACAAGCCGGGGTCTGGTACACAGTAAACAGCAAGCCGACAACCAGAACAGATAAGGATAAAGAGAAAACGTAGTCAGAAACAAAGCCAAAGTCAAAACGGAGAAACACAACTGAACACAACAAGCGCTAAAGGGAACTGATACAGAAACCACGATAGGGCAGGGAGTAAAGGGAGAGGTAAGTATATATAGCTTCTAAACTAATGTGATTGGCTCCTGTCATATCCACACCCCCAAAAGGTAAGTGTATGGGGAGTGTGGCATGACAGGGGCCAATGGGAGCCTTTTAACAATTTAGGCTCCCACTGTCTCTTTAAGAGCGCGCCCGAGACTCGCGGCGCGCTCTTAGATTCAGGAGGGACACGTGACCGCTTCTCGCGGTCACTGCCCGCCTTTCTAGTGAAGCTGTTGGATGAGCCGCGGCCGGCCCCTGGATAAGGTGAGTAACGCTACAAACAGACAATACCAGAACAGCATGTCTCTCAAAGTGAGGAACCGCATTACACATGTAACCAGACTCATATACCAGCAAGCAATTGAACAGCTTGGTACATACATTCAGAAACTCAAAATTTCCCACTACTTACACGGTAATAAGGCTAGTAAGCTCTTGGCGCGCTGTCTAAAAATGAGACAAGCAAATCAAAAGATGTGTTACCTAATGGACCATAAGGGTACAAAAATCACAACACCTAAGGGAATCAGTGACGTCTTTGCAAAATATTATTCTAATCTGTACAGCTTACAAGATGACACACTAACTAGCCAACCAACAGATTGGGTATTAATGACTACTTAGACGGGATAAGGTCACCAAGGCTCACAAAACACCAGCAGGAACACCTCACCAAACTGATAGAAGACCAAGAACTACTAGCCGTTATTAAATCCCTCCCAGCGGGGAAGTCCCCTGGACCTGACGGCATAGAAAACTTATACTATAAAAAATTCAGCTCGACCTTGACACTGTAATTGGTTAAAACATTCAACGACACGGTTCTAAATGAAATACTCCCCAATGAAATACTTCTAGCCCACATTGTAATACTGACGTGAAAATATTCGCTAAACTATACACGATTAGACTGGGGACCATACTGCCACATATTGTACACAACAATCAGGTGGGATTTGTAAAGGGCAGACAAGGGTCGGACAACACAATAAAGGTCCTTAACCTCCTGCATATATTGCAGACACAGCATTGGGGGGGACTATTGGCATGTATTGCGGTTTGGGCACTCGGGCTCAAAAAGGTTCGCCATCACTGACCTAGACTATGAAATCAAGATCAACACACTTCAACTAAGCCAAACACATGGAAGAAGCCAGGAAGTGGTGGGAAGCACATCTTAGAGATGGGTTGAGTGACTGGGAGAGGGAGGATCAGGTATAAAAGCTGATGGGAGATCGGTGCATGGCAGCATGCAAAAAAAAAACCCCAACATATAGCTATTTACCATCAAGTACAATGGAGACACTTTTAGTGAAAGCAATCAGTGGTGTATGGTTGGCTGGTAGCCAGAATATGGATTTGGTCCTGCAACAATAATTTCTCTTATCCATGATGAGAGACTCATAGTGCTCCCTAGATGTCGCTATTGTACTGTTAAACAAAGCAAGCACAGGGGATATTTTTTTCAGAGCATATTCCATGGAAATAAATTAGCATTTCTCCATAAATATGTCACCATTCATCCTATAAAGGAAGCTTTTTAACCTAGTGCATTTATAAAACCTTGAGACGAGGACATAATAAAACATGAATTCAAAGTGAATTTGAAATTAGAGGCAAAAATAGCTATAAGTGAAAACACAGCACACTTGGAGAATTTATCCCTTCATCTCTATTGGCCTAAAATTAAATTCACTTTGAATTCCTTACAGTTTACACTTTAGTAAATACCTATGTATTTATGAAGCTAGTGAAATAAATTCGGTTTCGGCAGCATCAAGATAACAAGACAGAGCATTTTTATTTTTATTTTTTATAATTCTTTATTTTTGTGTGCACATGTTTTACATAGCATCTTTCAATGCCCCAACAGCACTGATCAGGCAGTTAATTAGACATTTACAAGTTACAAGGCATTTGAGTATTCTGCACATTTTTTGTTTGTTAAGCAAGGTAGATTACAAGCTAAGTGAAGCTAGAGTTAGTTAACAGTAGGTACACTCAGCAGATGGCATTCAGAGAGATATTGCAGCTGAGGTCTGACAGATGAGCCTAAACTGAGTGTGAAAAAATAAAAATAAAATAAAGATAACACATGAAAGTCCTATTTAGCATTGATCTGATCAGCAAAGTATAGCGCTGCCGAAAATCTAGATCTACACCGAAGAAAGACAGTGTTATTTATGAGAGGAGTGATAGCAGGTCATAGAAGATAAAGACAGGAGGCTTATGCTGCATAGATGGTATTATTTACGCTAAACAGTCAGGATCGATTGTCCACCGAGTTACCGCTCCGTACCAGTACACTGCTTGTAAGTGATAGTCCCCTCACCCCTGCACATCTCTATGCAAAATGTATACTGTATGTCTGGCTGACCGTGTAGCTGACCAAGAGAGAGCAGGGGGAGGACAGTCCTTAGCTGGAGTGATGAATGCTTGCTTGTGTAGGTATGCGTCGGCAGACACAGGTGGGGTGTCGCTGTTGATTCTGTGTGGAATCGTTCATGAGTCAGACTGAGCATTAGGCTGGAATCAGAAATGCCAAGTGCTAGGTTCCACTGAGTTCTCACCGGAGGGATCATGCTGTCTTCTGCATGGTGTTACTGAGCTGCTTATGCAGTAGGCTTGCTGTGTCTAGTGGCTCACCCTTCTCCAGCCCGATGTTGCTGTGAACGGAGGCTTGATGAGCGGGCTGGTCTGGTATACTCTACTCCGCCAGCCCCGGGCTCTGCTTGAGCGACCGCTGGTACCTTCGGTTACAATTCTGACCGGTAACGTGATGCCTGGCTGATGGTGTGTGCTTGGGCTTGGGGCTGCGGTTCGAGGAGTGACCTCAGAGGGCTCAAGGCCCAGGAAGGCTCCTGGGTATGCGAGTCAGGTAGGCTGGGAGTTTGCCGTGGTGTGTGGCAAGGCTCTGCTGCTGTGTTCCCTTGTAGTGAGGCGACAGGACTCAGGTTCTCTTGTTGCCCGTCGGCGGTGTGTGCACTTGCGCCCGGTATGGACCTTTGGGTCACCATGTTGCAGGCTTTGTACACGCGCTCAGGCCTCCTGTTGTGCCACCTCAGCTCCCTCCAGTGGGGGGGAGAGGGCCTGTGAGTCGCGCCGCAGGGTTGTGGCATGGCGACCAGGCTTTTGAGTAGGGCAGCGGCCGTCTGCCCCGCGTCTTCCCCGGGTAGGCCGCAGGCTCCAAAGTTTTGGATCTCCGGGCCCCGAAACTCCCGATCTCTGAGTCTGCGGTGGTGCCAGCCCTCTCCTGCACGCTTCTGTGGGCTATTCCTCCCAATTATCGGCGGTATGCCTATGCTTTTTATCGGTTGGAGGTAAAATTAGTCGGAGCCTCAGGGCCATGCGACCGGTCAGCATGGCGGTGAGGCCCCGCCCCCCAAGACAGAGCATTTTTTACATATGATTTTTACATATTTTTACGTATGATAAAGTTTGCAGGAGTCTCATCTACCTGCTGAAAACTACAGAATACCTAGGCTGTACAAAGTTCCTTGTGTAGTAAAGTTATCCTTCACTGCATGACATAAGGTCTGTTTAGAATAGGCATACCTTTCACAGGGACACATGATTTTTTATTAGTAAGCCAATTTCTTTGAATAGCCCCATCCCTGGCCACTCTGAAATGAAAGTGTCCCTCTTTGGCCGTATAAAATGTTTGAAGGTATGGGCTACCTCCCGACTTAAGCGTACATCCAGTGCAAACTTTATTTGGATACGAAAGGCAACGTTTTGTCTCAAAAAGGTCTCGCCTTTAATAACCAAAGAAAGTTTGCACTGGTTATTTCTTTTCACTCTGTATACGTGTGTTTAGAGTCCTTTGGTTATGTAATTTAGAAAAAGAGAGCCAACTGGCAGGTTCATTTTGGCATGTGATTGGGGGAGAAGAGGATAATTAGCAGGTAAGGTGGGTATGTAAATGGGAGGGGATATTTAACAAAAGTGTGATGGACATGCAAATTGGTTAATCATTTAGGTAAGTTATGAGGTGATATTGTGCAGAGTGTACGAGTGTAGTGTAGAGCTCCACAGTAATGTAAAGTAATAACTATAAGTATATTATAGATCTCCACAGTAACGTCTTTCTGCCATGATATAATCTAGCCGTGCTCCTCCTGCGATCAAGCTCTGGAACTGCCCCTGCCAGTCCCTGTATTGCAGGTTGCACCACATGTGTGATTAGGATAACTGGCATGCACTCATGTTGATACTTTACTATAAGGACAGTAAATCGATTTTAAGTTCACTTGTTAGGGAACGTGTTGCATTTCGTGAGTCTTCATCCTTAGAAAAACTTAATTGCAAAATAAAGAATTCATAGAAAGGCTACTAGCATGCATGGCTCAACGACTGCTTAATGATATATATAACCAGGGAGAATGAAAGGTGTAAATATGAAAAGCTTGGAGTGGAAAAGGGAAGGGGTGACATAAATGCACCAATATCTCAAGGGTTTAAGCAATGTAGTTCTTTAGAAAGCTAACCCAATAAGACATACGCTGAGGTTGGTGGAAATGAAGGGTTTGGAGGAGTAATGTCAGATAATATTTCTTTAAGGTAACCTGTATGGATAAATTTAATAGCATCCCACCGGCGGTGCCAGGTACTAAAACTGCAGAAATATGGGATAGAAACACCGATTCTCTGAAAGGGAAACGCAATCATACATAACGCTTTGGTTTTTGGCAGAAACTGGGCAGATTAGATGGTTGAGTTAAATGTTAAGTACAATCAAAATCAAAGTTTTTCATGTTATTAATTAATAAATCTTTATTGCGATTAAAAAGTATTTAAACAATATCTTCCAAAGAACTGTACTGAAAAGCAGAGCAAATTACATATTAGTATGAATTCATCAGAATTAATCAAAATTCGCAGAGACGAACATGTAAAATTTACCTTTTATCTAATTCATCTGTTGCTTGACATATGCATAGTCGCCTTTTCAGCATATGCGTTACCAACCCAAAAAACCCAAGGATATTCAGACACCTTATTTTTGGGAAAATGATCACAGATTTAATAGTAAAATAAAACATATCAATTATAAAAAGGTCATTGTCAACATCCTTAAACATTGCATATCAACCCAAATTCCTTTAACAATTCTACCCCAGACAATGACCCACATAAACAATCCATGATACCACATTCTAACATATAACCACATAAACCATTGCCACCGAAGGCATGATTTACCATATTCCACAATGTAGGGGTATACCTGAGATACACCCTACACACACCAGGTTCGGAGCTAGCAACGAGCTCGAACCAACCAATACCATTCCAAACCTAACTGCTCTTAGCGAACTAAACTCTCTTAAAACTGGACAAACAACCTACACCCCAACTTGTCTATCCATCACCCACCACAACTCAAAGTTCGACTCCTCAAACTACTTGAGCGCCCCCACAAAACAACGCCCGTAGCAACCCTTCCTGAAACTCTAGCAACAAAATTCATACTGTCTGAAAGCACTCCATCCTACCGGTAATAACATGAAAGCTGAGCTTCAGACTCCCTGTGCCAAAAGACTACCCCCACCTGTCTAGCATACGTAGCCAGCAACTTAGTCACCTTCCTCTGCTCTCTACCACTGCCCCGGTATCCCTGACATGACCGTGGGACCATCTCAGACCATATGACAACCACATCAGGGATCCCCTGCCTCAGCCAGTCCAAATCCTTCTTTGCATCCCGGTAGAGAAATCCCTTTATGAAACCAGATGCAAGTCATAATCCCCTGCATGAATCAAAACTACTTTAGACACCTGCCCCCACACTAATCCTCCTGAAAAGCTTAAAACAAACCTATTGCCAACAGGGCCCTCTTGAAACAAGCACACACGTTTCGCCAATGAGCCCGGGTAGCCCAGCTGCATGTCATGACGACAAACTGCGGCTCTCCTGCATGCCCAATACACATACAAGTGTTCCAACAACCAAGCAGTCCCCCTACGGGAGAAAAAACATGTTAATAACTAGAAAATTTACAATTTCTGGGGAAATTGTGTGAAGTGTTCTTGCCTCCACCTGTAGTCTACAACTGGAGTGGGCGGAGTAACTGTTATCATTTACATAGCACATTTAATTGCAACGTTGTTGCACAGTTACATTAAACCATACATTTATAAAACATTAGCAAGTGTTCAAAAGGCCCTGTCTATGACATCACTTGCTGCTGCAGCTTGACACAGGTCAGAGTATTTTGGTGGTTGCCATCTTCAAACAGTCGTATCTTAAAAACTATAAATCCTACAGCGAAGAGCTTTATATTGTGAGAATCACAAGACCCAGACCTACATTTTGATGCATAGTATGTCTCTGAAGTATTAAAATTGAAGGCACAGTCGCAGTTTAGAAATTGCACTTCAAATTTGAGCTTTGCAGAGTGAAGTTTCAATGAATGTCAATGGACGGCGTTGGTTGCAAACAAATGGTCATATTGTGAAAACTATCAGGACTACGGCTTAGCCGTTGACATGTTAGTGGCAGCAGGGATAGCTGAACGTTTTGATATAAGATTTGTGTAGGTGGGCCTGAAAATAAGGGAGTGGTGGCAGTTTAGAAATCATGTCCTGATTTTTCAGCTTTTGCCAGCTCCCACTCTAACTTTGCCATTCATTCCTATGGGACAAATTTCGCCACAAGAACGACGATATTCCGTGAACCATTCGGCGAAACGTTCCACAAAGTAATAGCAATCCGATCGGGAACAATCTGCACGTTTTGGTAAATTTTTGTCTATGTAGTGTAAAAACTGTGGGAGGAGTTAGGGTGGCAAATTTTGCTATAATAATAATAATAATAATATATATGTGAGATAACATTAAGTGGTCTTGCTATGCAAGAACACTTAATTAACAGAAATAACCACTCCAAACCAATACCTAAACTAAATGGCTGGGCATCACACATGACTTAAATCTTACCAATTCCCATCACCCCATCTTGTTTGGACCGGATCATCCCCTAGACCCAGCCTTGATGCCTCCGTTGCAACTCCAATCCGGAACAAGTGTGTACTGAACAGCAACAGAACCAAACCCATGCGCCCCATGCATTGGTGTATTTAGGATTTGTGCTGCCCTAGGCAGGACAGTGCTCGGGCAACCCCCTTTTCCCTAATTTACATTTTCCCCACCCATTCTTGTGAAGGCCACACTTTGACTGACAGACGCTCACTCACTTACAGATGCACACTCTCACTGATGAATGCATACACTCACTGACAGACACACACACACTCTCATATACACTGACAAACAATGACATACACACACTCACTGATTTGGCACTCTGATAGACAGACATACACTATTACTCGGACACACACTGACAGACTCACTCTAACGGACAGACTCACTGACAGACGCACGCACTCACTGACCGACACACACTCACTCAAATTCACTGACACACTCACTGAAACACTGACACACTCACTCACATTCACTGACATACACACTCACATTCACTGACACACTCACTCACTCACTCACTCACATTCACTGACACATACATACTCACATTCCCTGACACACACACACACTCACATTCCCTGACAAACACACACATTTCCCCCACTCACAATTATTATAATTTTTTTGTTAAAAATTGAAATCAACCCAGCTAACTTTTGGGATAGCTGGGTGGAATTTTCACCTGTAGTCCAGTGGGGCTGCTGGGCAGTGAGGCGGCCGGACGTGCAGGCGGGCGTGAGAGTGTGTGTCTTCAGCATTTACCTTTCTCCAGCGCCGGACTCCCTTGGCGCTTGGGATCCCTCCGCCTCTCAGCTCCGAATGCACATGCGCGGCAAGAGGCGCGTGCGCGCTTTTAAACCACCCATAGGAAAGCATTACGTGCACTTTCTCCACTTTCTCCTGGCATTACTGCGGGTTGCTGAGCAGAGAGCTCAGGTAAAGGTACTCCCTCACTGACAGCTTAGTGTGGCTGCCCGCCCGCGAAATAACCGCCCGCCTGCCCCGGGGGATCCCAAAGGTAGCAGTCGACCAGCTCTTGGACTCCCATAAAACGAGGCAAACAAGGTATTTGCCTGGGCATTTGGGGGCGGCATTTTTTGCCACCCCCTGGAAATTGCCACCCAAGGCAAATGCCTTGTTTGCCTCTCAGTAGATACATCCCTAGCCCCGAGGCCAACCCAAATACCTTACGAAATGAAACTTGGACAATGAAGAACCATTGGCAGCCAACAAAAAGGAACCGCCTATCCCACTCGGACTGACTGAA